TTCGGGAGATGCAAAAGTTTTGCTGCCTCCGAATGCTTGTGTGTTTCCAGCAGGGGGCGCAGCTCCACCTGCAGGCGTAGAAATCACTTGGGCCGCTCGCCAGCAGCCTGCGAGCAAGAAGACCCCGGCCTGGCAGAGCACTGGGATTGTGCTGCCATAGCTGCTCTCGGAGGCCACATTCAAAAGCCAGCAAGGTTGCTTGGTCAGGCAGAATTTGGCACAGTGCAAATCTAGCAATCCAGAGTACAGACGTAGCCAGAATGACTCGCAGCCTGGCTGATAGTATTGCTCTTCAGTCCAGCAAATGCCTGTTTCCTTTCGTCCTGTTAACTCTTGGTTGCTTGGTGAAACACAAGCACATATGCATAGAGCACATTTATTGTAACAGACAGCGTCCGCTCCAGCAGAGCTTTCCCCTAGATCCAGCCAGAGCCTCAGGGATCGTGAATCATCAGGCGGAGCAAGATAAATCTCATCCTGACTGCGACTGTGCCAGTGACCCAAACTACATTTGCAGTTTGGAAAACCGCAGTCTGCGTCCAAGAGTGTTAGTGCAGTCCCTGCCTCCTCATGCTTCCTCTGAGGGTCGAACGAGAGAGGGGTGACCAAAGAGAGCCATGGGTGACCTTGCCTATGATCCTTAATAGAGAAGAATTTTCGAAAAGCCACCCCACCCAACAACCAATAGACCCAGGGCAAACCAATAGCCATCCCACCCAACGACCAGTAGACCCAGGGCAAACCAATAGCCACCCCACCCAACGACCAGTAGACCCAGGGCAAACCAATAACCAATAGCCACCCCACGCAATAACCAATAGAACCAGGGCAAAAGGTCCCCTTGATCTCACCCTGCACCCCCAACACTATTACCAAAAATAACAATCCTCGCCCCAAACACATGGGGTGGAAAAGGAGCCTGGTGGGCCCGAGCAGATAAGGCCATGTTCCATCCCTTACGCTCTTCCTCTTGAGAGCCACCTGTGGGGGCCCAGGGACAGAGTGTACTTAGACTGTTGTCACCTTTCAAAAGGGGCTGGTGGGTTTAAAGTGTTCACCATGAGAAACCTTAAAGGGGCCTGATTTTGTAGAGATCAAGCCCATGTTGGGCACCCAAGATCACTAGTCGCTCTTGAAAACGTAAGCCAAAGTGCTCATCCGATTGGATTTCCCTTTGACCAATACGTGAACATGGGAAATCAGTCATTCCCTCCTCGCTGAGAACCAACGCCCTAGTCTTCAGCGTCTCCAAGCAACGCGAGCCCCACACATGCTTGCTGTTCTCTAGCAGGCTACAAGTCGTGCAGTTGCAAGTGGGGGACACTTCTCCGTCCGTCTGCCTGTGTGATCAATCTAGTCATAGGGCCTTCACCACCACAGGCCCTAGAGACTGATTGTTTGCTAAAGCGGAGCAAGATGCCTCATTTCAGAAAAATGCCCTTTGGCTGCCTGGCTTCTTTGTGATTCATACATGTGGCCAACGTGCAGCACTGGTGTTGGGGAGGCTACACACAGAGGGGCTGGAGGTTTCCCAAGAAAGAGTTGAATATTTCTATTAAATTCCAGCATAGAGGCGTAATTCTGTGTGTCTGTAGATGAGAGGGTGCCTGCGTGTGCAGGAAGGACACGATAGGGGGTCTGCAAGGGTAAATCATAGCATCATTTTTCTGGGTTGGAAGGAGCTGTTATGGGTCGCTTAGTGCATCCCTCTGCACCCCTGACAGGTTTGAGGTACAGGGCCCTGCCAAGTAGCTGAGACTTTGTTCAAACTGAAGGAGTGGCGATTCAAACCTGAAACGTTTCCAGGGTTATTTTTGCATCAATGAAAACAGTTTTGCGAGAGGATTTAACCAGTCCCTGCAAGGCTGGAAACCCAAACGTCACTGAACGAGGCTAGTGCATAAGAACGAGACCGTGAAATTGAGCAACTTCGCTTCGTTGTCTGAACCAGAGCTGGTTGAGTCATCCCTAAAGAATCCTCGATTTGTGGAATTTCGGTTCGTTGCCTGTCTGCAAACGGATCACAGCTTTTCTCGCATTTATTTGTTGCTGGGAAATGACGCACGGGCTCATGTCTCTGAATAGTTCAGGGTCTGTGGCTTGTTTGTGAGTGGTTTGTTGCAAGAATTTGACATTCAAGCTGTTTTGATTGGACCCTGGGCTCACATGGTATGTTTCCCTCCCCAGAACGGATGAGCTGAGTGTAACTCTTAGAATCAGGGCTCGTTGTTACTAATTAGCTAGCCTGGTGATATTCACCCTGTACAGAGGGCGAGCACCAGAGTGCCAGCGCTGAGTTAATAGGGATGCGAGAGAAGCTTGACATTATTCCAGCTGCTTCTCCATGTATTATGAAAGTGTTCACAGCTCCTGGTGAGCACAGGAGGACGGCTGCTGTCAGAACCATCTGGGCCCTATTTCATCATGTTTATTTTGAGTTTCCAGGGTCACTTTTTTTCTCTCTGGTAACGTTAACCTCTCTGCTGCTGGCAGAGCGTTCAGACAGGGCTGTGGCAGCAGGGTCTCGCTGCCATCCACTCGGGTCAGGTTCGTTGGACTGCATCAGGAGAGTATGTTTGTCAGATGTCCCTGGCCCCTTGCTGAGGCTAAGTGAAGATCTTTGTGAGGGCAAACGTGAGATCCATTCAGGGCAAAACTGGCTTTCGTTTAGGAACCAAACCAGGGACCTGGCAGGGTAACATTCCGGAGAGCTTTGTGCGGAAGTGGGAGAAGATAAGACCCTGTGGGCTGGAGGGTCAGTTGGATTGTGAAGATTTGCTTGTGTGGTTGTCTCTGAAACGTTTCTCGTGGGTATGTCCTTAGAGAGAGAGCGGCTGAGCCCAGGCCAGGGAGCCAGAAACTCTTCAGCTCGAATCCTGGCTCTGGCATTGATCTTGGGCAAGCCCTCACCCTCTCTTCTCCTAGCTGTAATAACAGGGATGCTTATTGGCTTTCCTCTCCTGGATGCTGGGGATTAATCATTGTTCCTAGAGTGTTTTGAAGGCGAACAGGCAAATGCATCACTGCCGTTAATGAGGGTAACTCCACTGATGTCAGTGGAAGATGACTCCCATTTTCATTATAGCCATTGTAGTCGCACTCCCTTATCCCAAGGGTGAATTTAGCCCCAAAAGCGTTACCCGGGGGGAGCGTCTCGCTCTCTTTGTAGAAGCAGCAGCCTTTGCTCTCACCGACATTGCCAAGGAGATCTGCTCTGACTCGTTACCTCTTGTGCCGCGTTTGGCTCCCGAGGGTTGGGCCCCACAATTCGAAAGGCAAACGAAAGGGTGGGGTTTTGACTTAGGAACACACTTGCCATGGGCAGAACGGGGAGAGCAGAACTCTTCGAGTCAGGTGCAGCTGCTTTCAGTGGGACCCTCGTCCTCCTCCCTAGTCACAAAGACGCTTTCGGAAATCGCACCTGTGGCCACATGCCGCCGGCCAGATTCTGATCCCCAGGTAAACGATGGCAGCTTCCACTGAAGGCAATGGCAGTCGCCACTGTGACCCTGAGAGCAGAATGGGCCCGGTAGGTTTAAACAGAGAAACACTCCTTGATTTGACGAAGCTCAGTGTACGTGCCAGAACCAGTAAGGCAGTGGGGGGCATGCCCCTCTGAGAGCAGCGCTTGGCTGCGAGTGTGTTTCAACATGGACTCTTCTGACTCCGTTCTTTTGCTTCTGCAGGGAGCATCACGGCTGGGAAGCCGGTGTCCCAGGACAGAAAGATCACCCCCACGACAAGAGATATCACCAATTCCAAGTCTCCTCACGCTACTCTATCGGACCATCACCATCCCATCTCCCCCTACGAACATTTACTCCGGGGAATGAGTGGTGTCGATTTGTACAGAGGACACATTCCATTGGCCTTCGACCCCGCTGCAATTCCCAGGGGAATTCAACTGGAAGCAGGTACGCCTTTATTTGGGGGCACTTGGCAGGAGCAGCCCCTGGTCAGCTGGGCAAAAAATCTGCCTTGGACTCCATTGCTATGAATGTAACATAGCTGAGAACAGAATGGGGCCTTTTCTTTTCTAAGCTGCGTAACCAGCCGCTGGCTGGCGGGTGACGTTCCGTTTCACAATGAGCAATGGAAACAGGCTTTTAAAGCAGCGCTGCCTTGACTGTTGAGTAACTCTTTGGCTTAAAGCCGCGTCTCGGATGAGCTCTTCTCTGACTCAGTTCTGTCCTTACCCTGACACTGCTCCAGTGCACAGTTGGCAGATGAAGGCCCTGAGACAGCAAAAAGCCAGCTTCCTCCACCCTCGTGCCCACGGGGGCTGAGGTCTCTGGTGTGTTGCATGGGCCTCCCCAGCCCGATGGAGGGTTCCTGGTGCTCACTGATTTGGGCCTTGGCTGTTCCTAAATTATCCCACGTCCCAGCTGATGCTCTTGAGCGCTGCAGTTTTCATGAGTCAGACTCTGCCGCCCTCTTGTAGGACCGTACTGCATGAGAAACTGACTGGTCTGAATCTTCTCTTTTAGCTGCTGCTTACTACTTGCCCAGGCATCTCACTCCAAGCCCGACGTACCCCCATCTCTACCCTCCATACCTCATCAGAGGGTATCCAGACACTGCCGCCATGGAGAACAGGCAGACCATCATCAACGACTACATCACCTCCCAGCAGATGCACCAGAACGCCGCCGCCACTGCCATGGCTCAGAGGGCAGACATGCTGCGCGGACTTTCGCCCCGAGAACCCTCGCTGGCTCTCAACTATGCTGCAGGTCCTCGAAGTATGAAGCTGTCTGTGGTTTTTAGGTGGCATTTTTTCTTCTTGAAAGGCATAGGGCTGTCGTTCTGACCCCAGACCCCTAGCATAACGCCCAGCAGGGCTCCCGTGGTGGAGATCACAACAGCAGTACCCATGCGGCATGCACATTGGTCTGCGGCGCCGGGGGCAGGAGCATCTTGGCTTCGGCCGGTTGAGCGGTTCCTGAGCCATCTGTGCAAAGGCGGTTAGTTTTTGTCAGTCTCGATAGCGCGTTTGGTTTCTCAAGGCTGCTTCAGGGGCAGCCACGTGACCTTGGGCTGGAGTTTGATCAGCTCTCGCAAGTTAAAGAGGGCCAGGCCTGACCAGTGCTTGGATAAGAGCCCCTCGGGGTATATCTGCGGAGCCCGTGGCAGTGAGCCTCCGAGCCTGTATCGACACACTCGGACTTGCGGAGGCTGCTGCTGTACTCTCAGAATTGCTGGGGAGACGGCACTTGGACGCCGGGGCTCAGACTGGAGCTGGGGTGCTGAAGCCAAGAGGCGGGAGTGGGCATCAGAGCCCAGCTGCGGCTTCAAAGCGCTGTCTATACAGCTGTTTTTAGAGAGCCACTGCAAACCTGAGTCTCTCAACCCGGGCAGGGAGATGGGATCCAATTTTGGGGGCAGTGCCCCAGTGTGGCACTAGGGGCTCTGAGCTGCTGCTTCTGCGCCCTCCTCCAGACAAAACAACACTGGGCTCCCAGTCAGCGTGTGGCTAGTCAGGATCGTTTGTTTGGTTGGGTTTGTGCTCAGGCATGGCGTATCCTAGCCAGATTCAGCCCCCCTCAATCCCCCTCCAAACTGAATACATTGTTGACCTCCACTTCCTGCCCTATGCGGTTGTGCGGTTGTTGCAGGCTGTTAAAAAGCTGCCACCCCGAAAAGAGACTGACGTTCAGTGGTGGGCGAAGTGATTCCGTACACACAGAGGACATCGCTTTGGGATCCCTTGGGCTGGGAGCTGCTCTAGAAGTTGCTCTTGTTCTTTGACCGCTTTACTTTCAGTTAGTAATACATGGCTGTGCACTAACCTGTCCCTGTCCCTGCTGTCCCTTCACCATCCCCCAGCAGTGGGGCCAGATTCAGGGTAAATGGCAGGAATTTCAGGTGCCAATGAAACCTTACAGACTGGAGGAGGTGAGAAACCAAGAGTGTAACATTGAAAGAGAGGTACAGTAGAAAGCCGGGGCCTGTAGAACGTGATCTGAGTGGGTACCCTGGAAACTAGCTCAGGAAAGCGTAGGCTAAGGCAGAAGGATGAATTAGTGAGGGGCCGGATCATGGCGCCCTTTCTCTCCACGGAGAGCATTTGAGTAGTCCCATGGACTTCAAGGAAGGACTCCACAATCTGGCTCATGGTATTTGTAAAGCTCTTTCAAGATTAAAAAATGCTGTGTGAGTGCGAAGTGTGGTTGTTAATAATGAGAGAAGCTTGCTCTGTGAGTGTGGGTGTAACATTGCTGCATCTTCTCAAACAGCCGAGTAGCTGATCTGTAGCTTTCCAGCTCTTCAGAACATGTTCCCATCGACAATGGGGTCCGTAGCCCTGTAAAATAGCATTTATGCTATTGCACTGATGGTTCTTTGAGTCTACACTGGCTGTAGTCATATTCTCACTCGATGCAAATTGATCTCCGCCTTCCCATCGCTGGGCAAAAGTGGCCCATTTGTACTGATCTTTATAGACAGTATCTCCAGTGACTTGTGCTGAACTGGGCCCTTCTAGCACAGTGTATATTCTGAGATTTAAAAGCTGGGTATGATTTGGGGGATAAAGCAAATGAGCATCTCTCAGAAAAGACCCAGGGGGACTTTCTCATCTCATTGTGCTGAGTAGGCCTCTGTCCTCAGAGCTGACTCTGGGATGCTGCTGAGTCTCCCTCCAGCTAAAATCTCACCCGCAGGGAATCTGGGGGTCCCCTCTGACTCCAGAACTAAAATTTGTATGTAGCTTGTGCTATTCGCACCTGCAGAACACAGCGATCTGAGCTAATGACCCCAGTCAAGTGCCCCCCAAGTGAGAGAATTCTCAGTTCAGGCTCTGACTCTGCCCTTTCTCGTACCCCGGCACGTACAGAACGGGGTGTACGTAGGGCTTGAAGGGATCTTGAGAGGCCATCTAGCCCAGCCCCCTGCACTGAGGCAGGACCAGGTCTACCTAAACCATCCCTGACAGATGTTTGTTCCACCTGTTCTTATAAACCTCCAATGACAGGGATTCCACAACCTCCCTTGGAAGCCTGTTCCAGAGCTTACCAGTCCCTGTTGGGTTCATTTCAGTGAATGCCATGTGGGGGGTGGGCAGAGTGTCCCACCCTGCAGAGTTAGAACCCCCAGAGCAGTGCCTGGACCCCGCCGTTCAAAAGAAAGCCACGTCGACTCCTCCGCTTTCACTGTCCGAGCTGAGTGGAAGGCATTAAGTAAACCAAGGGTAAAATTCCCCCTGTGAAAGATGGGCCTGAACTGGGAATTACGTGGTGCTTGGGCCTTCAGCTGGGCCTCTGCACCGGGGTGGATTTCGCCTCTGATAGTCCCTGCCCCAGGCAGCTTACAATCTTTGTGCTCTGTGTTTGTCCAGCACCTAGCACTGTGGGGTCCTGGTCCATGACTGGGGCTCCTAGGTAGAAATAATAAATGATGATAACCCCAAGAGTATCAATGGTGAGAAGTAGATCCTAATTTTTCAATGCTTCCTCTTTTAACAATCCATTACCAGAGGGGTTCGCCACAGAGCGGGAAACCGCTTTTAAATTACGCAGCTAGCCCTAGACAATCAGATTGTTCTCTGGCTAGTGTCCCCTTCCCAGTTGCCAGGGGTATGTGTGTTCGTGTGCTGTCCCAATTCCCAGGGCTTTTCTACCAGCATCACTCTCCGCACCGCCTTGTGTGGAGCGTGGGCTGGATAGTCATCCTGACAGTCCTTTCGGTTTTCTCTCCAGGGATCATCGACCTGTCCCAAGTGCCGCACCTGCCCGTCCTCGTGCCCCCCACACCTGGCACCTCCGCCGCCTCGATGGACCGAATCACGTACATCCCCAGCGCCCCCCAGACATTTAGCAGCCGGCACAGCAGTTCCCCGCTCTCCCCAGGTAAAACCCGCGGGTTTGAATTGCCACCTGATAATCTGCCTGGGTGGGCATGTGGACAAACCGAACCCCCGCCGCGTGTGTGTGTTTGAGGCTTCCCAGGAATGCCCATTGCTCCAGGATTTCGGTATGGTGAGCCTGGCGTGCTGGTTTGTCCTGCACCCGGAATTCGTAGTCCCCACGGCTCTTACCACACTGATAGTACTTCCCATCCAAGGATCTTCAGGCGCTTGAGGTGCACAAATTAAACCAAGAGGGGAAGGGGGCTGGTAAACTGAGGCACAGAGAGACATAACTTGTCCAAGGCCAATCCAGACCCAGGTGTAGAGCACAGCAGAGTCATGCTCCTACTCTTGTCTGATCACTACCTACCAGTCCCTCTTCCCTGGGCTTAACCCGAGCTGGGGTTAGGGTTGGGGCCAGCAGGGGGCCCGGAGCTGGGGCTAGGGGCGGGGCCGATGGGGGACCCCGAGCCGGGGAGCTGATCAATAGGGTTGTTTCTCTCTTTTATGGAGGGCTCTGAGGCTGGAAGGACTGTTCTTGTCTGCAGGTGCAGCCGATGATCATTGGCTTGTAACGCTGCTAGAACTTGACCTGCTCTGGCAGTTTGGGCCCGTCAGCTCTCTGCATTGTTATTTATTCAGCACCTGATGCAGGCTTGCAGCTGGGCGAGACGTTTTCCCCTCCCCCAAAATGTTCACAACCGAAGCCCAGACCAATGGGAATGTGAGGACAAGAGTTTCCCATGGAAGAACTCCAGTGATTTCTGTGGGACTGTGGTGGTTATGGGTTCTGAGGCTAGCTGCCCCTTTGTCCCCCTCCGGGTGCTCTTAGAAAGACCTGCCCCGGTCATGGCCCTCTTGCCTCACTTGTCTCAAGGAGAATCATGTGATCCTTCGGTGGGAGCCGTATGTACCAATCGGTGCCCTGCAGGCCCAACACCTGCATTTCCTCCCTTTGGGAGTCTGTAACCAGAGATCCCTTGTTGAAGTGTTTTCTTTAGCTCTGGGGAACAAAACATTAGAGAAACAAGGACATAGCGTGCTAGTTCGGATTGCGCTGAGTAGAGAAGAATCGCAAGGCTTTATGAACAGCAGGAGGGGCTAGTTCCCTAGGATCTTGGACGGGATCGTCCTTGGGGTGGCTAGCCCCGCCCACTGCTCGTGACACCACAGTTGCATTCCCATTTTTAGCACGTTAGCTCAATTAGACTTAGGGCTGGGATGTCTCCCGACCCCAGCTCCTTCCAGCTCTAGTGCAGACGTACCCTGAGAGTGTTTACCCCTGTCTCCATCCAGCAGGGCCTATGCAGGAGAATGCCCCCACAGTGGGCAGGTAAGCCCATTCAGTCTCAGTGGGTTGTAATCACTGGCCTAGTGGCGCTGTCTCCCCATGGGTGAGGGTGTTGAAACCATCTGATCCCTTTTGTCAGTCGAACACACTGTCTTAGAAGTCAAGCGCATCTGTCCCGTTTTGGGTACAGATCGAAATGCGCAGTTAATACAGATACTCGTGCCCT